GAAACAGGTTTATTTATTTATTTGATTTGTCAATCACTTACAAGATAATAGGTATAAGTATACCTATATGAGTAAGAATACAGGAAATAGGTAGGAATAAATGGGGGCAATAGGATAGGGACGGTAGGCACGATTGTGCACTTATGTATGTCTCTTAGGAATGGGGTGAGGTCAATAGTGGATAGTTTGAGTTTAAAGGAGTGGGGGTTAGAGGATGTAACAATGGAGTCAGGTAGTGCATTCCAGGCATTGACCATTCTGTTACTGAAATTGTACTTTCTGCAATCAAGTTTGGAGCGATTTACATTGAGTTTGTATCTGTTGTGTGCTTTTGTATTGTTGCGGTTGAAGCTGAAGTAGTCACCGACTGGTAGGACATTGTAGCAGATAATTTTGTGTAATACGGTTAAGTCCAACCATAGGCAGCATAGTTCAAGGTTGTCCAAGCCCAAAATTTCAAGCCTGGTGATATAGGGTATTCTGTTACAAGCAGAGGAGTGTAGTACCCTTCTCGTGAAATACTTCTGGACTCTCTCAATTGTATTAATGTCTGATATACAGTGCGGATTCCAGACTGATGAGCTGTATTCGAGTATTGGACTAGCAAAGGTTTTGTATGCCCTAGTTAGCAATTCAATATTTCTGGAGGAGAAGCTTCGTAACATTAGATTTACAATTCTTAATGCCTTTTTGGCAATGCTGTTACAGTGAGTTCTGAAGCTTAGGTCATTTGATATGAGTATTCTAAGGTCCTTGACAGAGTGAGGATCGTCAACGAGGTCACTTCTGCCTAGCTTGTATTTGGTGTACTGACTTTTGTTTTTACCAATGTGTAGGACAGAGCAGGTTGCACCCATCCAAAAGACTATGCCATTTGGGATGGGAAGCCTATGAGCTAAATGGGGAGAAAAAGATTCTGAAAGCATGTGCGTCTCCAAAGACCCCAGAGGATGCACCAGGGGTGATTGTGAGGTGTTTTTTCATTCCCCCATTTCTCAGAGCATTTTAACAAATGCATTCATTAGCACCACAAATAATCAAAGTTGGACTGGAGAAGTTGGCCAGCTCAGGGGTGTAGGAATTGGTTAATTGTATCAGTTTATTGGAATAAACACCATTAATTAATAATGTAAACCAGGGGTCTCCAACCTTGGGCCCTTGAAGCCTGGCGGACTTCGACTCCCAGAATTCCCCAGCCAGCAAAGCTGGCTGGGGAATTCTGGGAGTCAAAGTCCGCCAGGCTTCAAGGGC